ATTGCCAGATGTCTTCTGGAGGGAAAATCCTCTGGAATAGATTTCCCTCTTTTATATTCTTAAAGCAACCAGTATAGTTCTTTCCTGGAACTTACCAGAGTTACAACAATGTAGTTTACTTGGGTGATACTGTTCATTGTCTGCCTGATGGGCAGGAGTCTGGGTCTGTGCTTGTCTTACTCACTACTCCAGCATGTAGTTAGTTCCTTGTCTGGTTTATAATTGATGCTCAGTGCATGTCTATTGAATGTCGAAAAATGGAGATTGCAAGCTAAGAATATCATGAGGAACTGTTAATGTCATCTCAGGTTAAGGTGATATCCTGGGCCAAAGTAACTGTGGTGGGGAGGATTTGCAAAATCTTTAGAAAATGAGCACTCGGAACATGAGAAGATGTGGGAAGTTTAGAGGAGTAAGTGGTGAGCTTCCTGCTTTGGGGCTGGGGCTGAGTAGAGGGTGGCAATGGTTGAGAGAACTTGAAGGTGAACTAGTAGAGTGGGAAGTGCCTGCAGGGCAGGCAGGAGGTGGCTTAGGGTCATGGGAACCTTGGCTGTCAAAGTAGGGGCTGCCTCTCCTGGTTCTTCTCATCAGTGTTGAACATGCTCACATCTGAGCTTCAAGGAAGAAGCTTCTGGAAATCCAGAGGCGTTCTACTGTGGCCCCAAGGTGGGAGGATCACCTTTAGGGACAGCCTCTGCCCTGGGGGAGGGGTGGGTTGGGGGGGGCGGAAGAGGGCGTGTAGAGGCAGATGAGGCTGAGGATTTGGGAGAAAGGCTGACAGGCTTCCAATGGAAGGATGAGAAGTAGGTGGGGCGAGGAAGAGCCTGTGTTTGAGGAAGTCAGGTTGAACTGAGTATCTGAATGTCAGCATTGAAAGTCCAGCTGAAGCTGAGGCCGGGGATTGTCCAGGGTTCAAGCCTGCAGGATCGTGTGTTCTAATGCATTCGCAGGCTACATACCTGAGTTTTCCCTGCCCTCGTCTCTTCATGACTTATCAGAGGTGAGGTTCTGATGTGGCTCTCTGCCTCTGTCTAGGTGAGGGGCCAGATGTCCTGGTGTACAGCCTCGATTTTGGTGGCCATCTGCGGATGATGAAGCGCGTGCAGAACCTGCTTGGCCACTATCTTATCCATGGGTTCCGGGTGCGACCAGAACCAAACGGAGACCTTGACTCGGAGGCTATGGTGGCTGTGTTTGGGAGCAAGGGACTCCGAGTTGTGAAAGTTAGCTGGGGACAGGGCCGCTTCCGGGAGCTCTGGCGCTCTGGCCTATGGAACATGTCTGACTGGATCTGGGATGCACGTTGGCTTGAGGGGAACATAGCCTTGGCCCTGGGCCATAACTCAGTAGTGCTATACGACCCTGTGGTAGGGTGCATGCTGCAGGAGGTGCCCTGCACAGACAGGTGCACCCTCTCCTCAGCCTGTCTGATCGGAGACACCTGGAAGGAGCTGACCATAGTGGCAGGTGCTGTTTCCAATCAGCTCCTTGTCTGGTACCCAGCAGCTGCCTTAATAGATAATAAGCCTGTGGCCCCTGACCGACGGGTCAGTGGGCATGTGGGTGTCATCTTCAGCATGTCGTACCTGGAAAGTAAAGGCTTGTTGGCCACAGCTTCAGAAGACCGAAGTGTCCGCATCTGGAAGGTGGGTGACCTGCGGGTGCCTGGGGGTCGGGTACAGAATATTGGGCACTGCTTTGGGCACAGTGCCCGTGTGTGGCAGGTCAAGCTACTAGAGAATTACCTTATCAGTGCTGGAGAGGACTGTGTCTGCTTGGTATGGAGCCACGAAGGTGAGATCCTTCAGGCCTTTCGGGGCCACCAGGGTCGTGGCATCAGGGCTTTAGCTGCCCATGAGAGGCAGGCCTGGGTGGTTACTGGGGGTGATGACTCAGGCATCCGGCTGTGGCACTTGGTAGGGCGTGGGTACCCAGGTTCGGGGGTCTCAGCTCTCTGCTTCAAGTCCCGTAGCAGGCCAGGTACCCTCAAGGCTGTGACACTGGCTGGCTCATGGCGACTACTGGCAGTGACTGACACAGGGATCCTGTACCTCTATGACTTGGAGGTCAAGTGCTGGGAGCAGCTGCTGGAGGATAAACGCTTCCAGTCCTACTGCCTCCTGGAGGCAGCCCCTGGTCCTGAGGGCTTTGGACTGTGTGCCATGGCCAATGGGGAGGGTCGTGTCAAGGTTGTCCCCATCAACACTCCAACAGCAGCTGTGGACCTGACCCTGTTCCGTGGGAAGGTGCATAGTCTGAGCTGGGCCTTGCGTGGCTATGAGGAGCTCCTGTTGCTGGCATCGGGCCCTGGTGGTGTGGTGGCTTGCCTGGAAATCTCAGCCGCACCCTCTGGCAAAGCCATCTTTGTAAAGGAACGTTGCCGGTACCTACTGCCTCCAAGCAAGCAGAGATGGCACACATGCAGTGCCTTCTTACCCCCTGGTGACTTCCTGGTGTGCGGGGACCGTCGGGGCTCTGTGTTGCTGTTCCCCTCCAGACCAGCTCTGCTCAAGGATCTTGGGATTGGGGGCAAGGCTGGAGCTGTCACTGGAGCACTTGAAGCAGGTAGTGGCAGTGGTGGGGATGAAACTGAGTGGGGCCCTGTGTCCACCCTCCCTTCTCTGCACGGGAAGCAGGGTGTGACCTCGGTCACCTGCTATGGTGGCTACGTGTATACCACAGGGCGTGATGGCGCCTATTACCAGCTCTTTGTGCGAGGTGGCCAACTCCAGCCAGTCCTAAGGCAGAAGTCCTGTCGAGGCATGAACTGGGTGGCTGGGCTCCGTATGATGGCTGATGGGAGTATGGTCATCCTGGGTTTCCATGCCAATGAGTTTGTGGTGTGGAGTCCCCGATCCCATGAAAAGCTGCACATCGTTAACTGTGGTGGAGGGCACCGCTCCTGGGCCTTCTCTGATACCGAGGCGGCTATGGCCTTTGCCTACCTCAAGGATGGGGATGTCATGCTGTACCGGGCTCTGGGTGGCTGTACTAGGCCACACGTGATCCTCCGGGAGAGCCTGCATGGCCGTGAGATCACTTGTGTAAAGCGTGTGGGCACCATCACTCTGGGACCTGAATTTGAGATGCCCAGCTTCATGCAGCCTGACTACTTGGAGCCTGGCAGCGAGGGGCCTGGCCTGACTGACATTGTGATCACATGCAGCGAGGACACCACTGTCTGTGTCCTGGCGCTCCCCACAGCTACTGGCTCGGCCCATGCACTTACAGCTGTCTGTAATCACATCTCCTCGGTGCGTGCGCTGGCTGTGTGGGGCATTGGTACCCCAGGTGGCCCTCAGGATCCTCGGCCAGGCCTGACTGCTCATGTGGTGTCTGCGGGGGGCCGGGCTGAGATGCATTGCTTCAGCATCATGGTCACCCCAGACCCCAGCACCCCAAGCCGCCTCGCCTGCCACGTCATGCACCTTTCGTCCCACCGGCTAGACGAGTACTGGGACCGGCAGCGCAATCGGCACCGGATGATCAAGGTGGATCCAGAGACCAGGTAATGTGCATTGCTAGGTGGGAGTGTAGGGTGGTGTCACGCAGGGCAAGCCCCTTACAGCTGCTCTCAGGTTTGCCCTGACCTGTGTCTGGTCTCGGCAGGTATATGTCCCTAGCTATCTGTGAGCTCGACAGGCCTGGCCTTGGCCCCCTTGTGGCTGCAGCCTGCAGTGATGGAGCAGTGAGGTGAGAATGGGCATGGGGGGTGGTAGGGCCAAGAGACAAAGCCTGGAAGGTTGTCCAGAATGGGTTCTGAGCTGGGCCACTCTCCGCCCCCCAGGCTCTTTCTTTTGCAGGACTCTGGGCGGCGGTTGCAGCTCCTGGCTGAAACCTTCCACCACAAGCGGTGTGTCCTTAAGGTCCATTCCTTTACACATGAGGCACCCAACCAGCAGCGGTGAGAGAGGCTGCATGGTGGTCCTGCATGGGCCAGGTGGGGGCTCCTGTTGCTTTCCATCCCCCTCGCTGACCTAGCTGCCCTCCCCTGGCTCCCAGGAGGCTGTTCCTGTGCAGTGCAGCTACTGATGGCAGCTTGGCCTTCTGGGATCTCACTACTGTGCTAGACCATGGTTCCACTGCCCTGGAGCCTCCAACGGACCCCGGGCTTCCCTACCGTGAGTAGCCAGTGTACAACCATGGCTGTCCCTCCCCACCTCACACTTTGCCTTCACCCATGTGGCAGCGAGGCCCTGATAACCATCTTCTTCCTCCAGGACTGGGCACCCCCTGCCTGACCCTCCAGGCTCATAGCTGTGGTGTCAACAGCCTCCACACCTTGCCCACACGTGAGGGCCACCTTGTGGCCAGTGGCAGTGAGGATGGCTCACTCCATGTCTTTGTGCTGGCTGTGGAGGCACCAGAGCTGGAAGAGGCCGCTGGGGGTGCTGAGCTGGTGCCCCAGTTGCATGTGCTAGAGGAATACTCTGTCCCCTGTGCACATGCTGCCCATGTGACAGGCCTCAAGATCCTAAGCCCAAGCCTTATGGTCTCAGCCTCCATCGACCAACGGCTGACCTTCTGGCGTCTGGGGCATGGTGAGCCCACCTTCATGAACAGTACCGTGTACCATGTCCCAGATGTGGCTGACATGGACTGCTGGCCTGTGAGCCCTGAGTTTGGCCACCGCTGTGCTCTTGGGGGCCAGGGGCTTGAGGTTTACAACTGGTATGATTGAAGTGTCCCGCGGTGGCCGGCATGCTGGGTATGGGGCCTGCTCGCAGACGGAGTGGAACAGGAGTGACTGTCTGTGCCCATGCCCAGTGTGCTTTGAGGGGAGGAGGCGGCAGCCGCGGGTTCCTGACGTCAGAGCAGGAGCTGGAGGTGAGTAGGGTGCCATCTGGGCAGACCAAAAATATGCCCTACTGCGTATAATAGGACCAGGCTTTATAATAGAAGTAATTTATTTTTGGTTTCAGGTCCCTAACAAAATCTGTGTATCTTCTTTTCAGGTGATGACTCTGTAAACATTCCTAGATATTGGGGTCTCTGTGGCCTTAGATATGGTCCAGCGGAGGGAGGCCCAGCGTGGCTAGGCCGGTGTGAAGCACTTCACGCACGGCCCGCAGAAGCTGGAGACGGGCAAACATTTGACCAAAAAGGTGTGGTCGAGGCGCCTGTTGGAGAGAAAGGGCCTGCTGGTCTCGTCCTTTGCTTCCCTTGCACCCCCGCAACCCCCCACCCCGTTTTGCTGTGCACTTACTCCTAGGATGTGTATGCGGTTATAGTAGGAGCTGAAATCCATGCTGAGCTGTACCAGGAACTTGCACATCTAGAGACAGAGACTGAGTCACTGGCTGGTCTCTGATCCTGTGCCCAACCCAGAATAAAGCATTGAGTGTGCAGTGTCTGTCCCCGTCTCCTCTGCCTCACCGTCTCTGTGCGTGCGGTCGTGTGCAGCCCTGGGGCTGTGCATGCCAGGGCTGCTGTCTGGCTCAGCAGGTCTGGGAAGGGGAGGATGCCATTGAAGAGCAGGAGCCATTCACCCTGGGAGGAAGAAGGGCGCTGGGAGATGAGGTCCCAACCTCCTGTGGGTGCCCAACTACCTGGGGAGGGCACTCACCTCATCCTGTAGCAGTGAGAAATCAAGACTGCTCACAGGTGGAAAAGTGGGGTACAGACCTTGTTCCATGCTGTGCCTGTACCCTTCAAACAGTGTGGCAAGACGGGCACAGTTATACATGACGAAGGTGCCGCTCTTGGTGCCCTTTGTGGAAATGCTGCTGTCGGCCAGGGCCAGGAGAAGCTGAGGAATGGGGGCACAGCTGCAGCCACCACACGTGCTGTCCAAGCCCTGATCCTGTAGGTCACCCAGGCTCACCTGACCGTGCGGGGCTGTGCTGAGCATCTCAAACTTGATGGTCGCCACGGAGAGAACGCTGAAGACCTCTGTCCAGGCTGGGTCTGAGGGAGTGCAGTCGGTCAGTCTCCACAGGCAGGGAAGCAGACAAGCCACCCCTCCTGCAAAGCACAGCTAGGGGTTCCCGGGCGCACTCACCTTGTGCCAGGTCCCTGCCGTGCTTCACTGCTGACGCCTTGCGCACCTGGGCGTGCCGGAGCCTGCATGAGGAGAAGAGTGAGCGGGGCAGGTGGGGTGGTGAGGAGTTCCCCTCCACCTCAACTACCCTGACTCAGGGGCCTCCCTTCCAGTCTCACTCACTCGTAGTACTCAGGGGCAGTGAGGGTGCCGGGTGCACCAGCCACTTTCACCGGGCCACAGACCAGGTGCTTCTGTCGGGAAGAGAACAGGCACTCAGCTAGGCAGCGATACCCTCCAACACCAAATCCTTCGAGAAGCCTAAATCTGGTGCCTGGACTCCCCCCGCCTTTCAAGCCCACCCCAGGACACAGTCCAGTTTCTTCAGTGTTCTCTGGGATGTGCCCCCGGACCCCACCTTCTCTCAGGATGCTCACAAGCTGCGGCAAATACCCACTCACCAAGCCTGATCTCCCCCTCAGGATCAGGTGTCACCTATGGACACACTGGCCAACAGGACGCTTGAGGGTTTTCAAGGGCCCCTCAGGTTGGTGGGGGCGGGGAGGAAGCCACTAAACCTACCTGTGTGAGCGGAGCCTGGTCATCCAGCTTCCGCCAAAGCAGGTCCACCTTTTGTTGCTGGAACTCCTCCTCACAGCTCACCACGTGCACAACCATGCAGCGGTCTGCGTTAGCATCTGGGACCGCAGCCTACGGTGTGTAGGAAGACGGTCACCGAGCGAACACAGGCCACTCGGCTGGCCAGTGTCAGCCTACGGAGTCGGGTCAGTCACTAACCAGGGATGGAGGGCTGTCCCCTGGCCAGCAGCGCGCAGCCTCCTGCAGCTCGGCTAAAACCGAGAGCAGATCCTCAGTCACTGCAGAGAACACGAGGGCGTTGAGGCTAGCCAGGAGCACAGAGTCCCCACCTTCTCTCCAGCCCTGCGAGGCTCCAGCTCCTACCCAGACACTTGTCCAGGTTAGGGTCATAGCCAGCTGCGCGTCCCCGTTCTTG